AAGTAATGAATTTGGAAATTTGGATGTCTAAATATTAAGAAATTTATTGTAGTAATCAAATTGAATAAAATTGATTAAAATAAAGGTTACAAATGGGCCGAAATCTTCTTAGGTATTTATTTCCCGAAAATTTATAGCAACTAAATTATCTGTATATTTAACAAAATCTTTAGTTATGTATTATGGGAGAAATCGTTGAAATAGTTTGTTATGATTATTTATGTTTAATAGTTATCTAAACTTGTGAAATTAATTATGTTTTATAGTTATCTAAAAGTTTATTCTACACGTAAATATTTCAGCACATTATATAATCAAAACATCATAGTAATAATTTCCCATTTTCAACTATAATTTTATTAATTTCCCATTCTCTTTAATATCTGAAAAATCCTTTTTTGACTATTTTCTTATATTTTATAAGCAATCGAATGGAATCTCATATATGTAGAGCGCACACAAAAATCATTATATGCGCATGAACGAAGACTGAATATATAAACAATAAAATAGACCGAATAGACTAATATATATTAAACAAATTGTAACTTAATAGCAATATTTAACATTTAATAAAAATGTGATCATAATAATTATTTAATAACTGAAAATTCTGAGAAGATGGGAAAACATTATTCTGAAACTAATCCTTGAATACTATAGCCTCTCATGGAAAAAATCCATTGTATTTCACCACATGAGTCCTACTATTAATCAGAAGCTTCCAATTGTGGGTAGTTGCTCTGTGCCACGTATTATTAACGTCAATTTCATACTTGCCGATCACGTACACGTCGCCTTCTTTAGACACATCTCAAAATAAGCTCATATGCGCATAACGTATCAATCCAGTTATTTGTGAACCCTACAATATAAATTTATACAAAATAACTTAATTAATTTGTGTAACAATATCGTTTGTACAAAACAATTGAAAATATTACCTCCTCATCTTGAAAATGATCTCCGAGAAATTCCTTCTCTCCAATTCGTATTGCGTCTGAACAATTCGAATTGCTCTTAATTTCAAATAAGGCCTGTTTGCCCTATTAACCGCATGTAGTCTTTCAATCACTGGTTCCATTTTTTTGGTTAATCGAAAGTAATAATGGGTTGGTTAAAATAAAGGTTTCGAAAGTATTTAAATATTTATTTATGGAAAAAAATCATTCATACAGTTTGTTAGGATTACATATGTTTCATAGTTATCTCGAAAAAAAATCATTCGTACAGTTTGTTACGATTACATATGTTTCATAGTTATCTCAACCGATGTATTATTAATTATGTTTTATAGTTATCTAAAACTTTGTTATACAGGATCACAACAAAATATTTAAGTCGATATATCTTAATTAAGGATAGATCTTCAAATAATTATCCTTTCGTTGTTAATTGCGTTTGTTGGAGAATTACTTCGAACTTACTCCGATTAATATTTTATCAATTGTATTTTATATTAGCAATGGGAAATTAGAAGTATATACCTAATATTGTAATACTACAAAAAATTTATACCAATTACAATTAAAAATATTTAGATTTCATTATTAAAAAAATAATATGCATAACCTCCGATTTCACTTGCAACTTACCATTGTGTCGTTTACAATTAAAAATATTTAGATTTTGTTATTAAAAAAATATGCATAACCTCCAATATAGTGTTCTGTTGTTGTATGAAATTAACAACCATGAAATTAACAGCAGAGTGCGTTTAAACAAAGGTAAACTTGTAATTTTTGTTTTATTAATTTGTTTACAAAAGTACAGGAAGTCGGTTTTTTGTTCATAACCGGGATCATTTGAAGTCCATGTACTATGTGTTAGAAAAGAAGATCCTCGTATTACCATAAATTCTGCTATTTAAAGTGCGGTAGTTTTTGTCTTTTTGTTTGAGATGGATAAGAGCGTATTTAATGCTGAGTTGCTTCCCTTAAGCGGTGTGTTTTGCTCTGGGGAACATCAATGATTGCTCTTTTGTCTTGATGGTCCAATTAAATGCTTACAACTCATTTTTGCCAAATATTTGAACTGTTTGTTTGTCGGTTTGAACAGAGAATTTGTTGATACGACTAACCATGTTGTTAGCGGAGTCGGTCATTTGTGTCTTCTTTATGCCGTCGGTTCTTTTCTCTTGGTCATCTCGGAAGTCGGTATATTTCAACAAATACTGACTTATCTTAGGTTTGCCTTTTTCTGGCGGATTTACTCCAATGAAACAATTAATCACCACTTTTAATCGTATAATCAAGTCGGTTATCAACATGTTCTATTTATGATCATAAATTGTTAAATAATTCAAATGAAAATGAATTTAAATTAAAACAAAAACTCGTCTATCGAAATTTGTTTGTAAATTGTCAAAAACTAATATTAGTTGAATTTAATAATAAACAAAAAATATTAATTGATTTTAATAATAATAAAAAAATCATTCAATTGCAAACATAAATAGAAAAACATAAATAGACTAACCAAATTTCATAGAGATTGAACACCATTAATTAGAAATTCGAAAAATTGAAAACACATTAAATTAATTATTTAGTCCTAGCATTCTCTTGATCACGACTTCATATCACCAATGTCAAGCTTTTCTTTTCTGCTCTACATCGCAATCCTGCTGTTGGTGACATACATGTTCGGCTTGTACCATTTACTGCTGGCAAAACTGAAAATTAAATTTTATAACAAATTAGTAAATTAATTAAATACTCAATTTGATATCCGGAAATGTAAACCAATCCCAATACAATATAGTGACAAATTTAAAAATTAAATAAAATGTCGTCTGTTCGAAAACACTTACTTTTCACGGAAATCTATAATTTCCGGGATATTAGAAGCAAAAAGTTGTGTAACATTCAGATATGAACTCAATTGATACTCACCTGTTGCAAAACAATATATTAATTTGCAATTTAAACTATATATAATAATATTTTATTTTTTTTATTATAATATAACAAAAATTCGCCATACCTGCAGTCTTTTGTCTTGTCCTACATAACTGCATAATGAGAACCCATGGTTCTCCATTTTCCGCAGCTTGGAAATGATTTTCACAACCAATAAACTCGTAAACATAATAGCCCCATAGTTCGCAACGCATCACTAATCCACTATTTAGTATAAAAACAATTTTAGTATGTCATTAGTAAACAAATTTTATATAAATATAAGTAGAGTAATTTATATTACTTACTCCAGATCCATCATTGGAAAAGAGATCCTTTGCTTTTCTATTCCATTAATCCAATCATTCTGAATAGGTTGAACCTCGACAACCATACCAATAGCATCTACAATATATTTAATCATAAATTAAATATTCTTTTATAAAATCATAAATGAACAATTAAAAATAAAAGTTGAAGAAAAAACGTATACATCATAAATAATTAATAAAAGATCTACAATATATTAAAATAAAATATATACTAACAATAAAAAATATAATTTAAAAAAAATCGAATCTAACATGAGTAATTGATAAAAGATTTACCATAAAGGATTGACTCATGCACAATGTCATCATTTTGTAGATGTGCAAAACTATGGAAGTCGAATTACCATGTAGGGAAATCAGATAGCACGTGAAGGATATCAGTATCACCATCAATTATAACTTTGTAGTCTGCCTTAGTTGATCGAAATTTACCAACTTTGAGCTCTAGTCGGTAATTGCGTATTATATACATGCCGTACTCCTCAAGACACCCAGCAAATATAGGTAGTCCACGAACTATACCAGTTATACGTGAACCCTAAAAACAAAGCAACATTGTGAATGAGACAATTAAATCAATTTAACAATAATTTCAATACAAATTGAATTAAATACATAAAGATACCTCCATGTCGTGAAAAACGATTTCCCAATTGATTGGGTACGATGCATCGACCGACCTATTGAAAATACTAATCACTCTAAGCTTAAGATTGAAGCTCATATTAATATTGAGTTGTCTGATCAATCCTGATTGCTGCATGACAATTTTTGATTTTTT